ACATTACACATCACTAAGGTTTTAGTTTTCAAAATCTATGTTTCTATAAACTATTTATGGATTTTAAAAGAAAATTATTCCATAACTTCAATGAGTTTATGAAGCTATCGATCATTATAACTACATTTTTAGTACTTAACATTTTTTCTTCAAAATTTAATATTTTTAGGATTTTTTTCTTTAGAATAAAGGAACAATTAATGGTTTCCAATTAGAAATTCTAACCGACTATTTAATATTTATATTTTATTTTTCTAATGCTTAAAATGTTCAAATCATTATAAAATTAAATGAAATTATATGAATTCTCAAATAATTAATATCTATAATAATTACAATCAAAAATAGATTTTTTAATTAACTTTTTAAAACATACATAATTCATAGCAAGAAAAAGATGAAATTTTATCAAAAAAAGTTAACTATTATAATATATATTATAATAAAAACAGAAATAAAAGAACGTATAAGTTTTATAGTGTAAAAACAATATTGGTAATTATAAAAACATTTGTTTCATAATGTATAATGTATATCTTCCAGTACAAATTATTTATCACTTTATTGCATATCATATAATATTGCAATCTCGGAAAAATTCATAAGAATTTATAATGAATGAATTATCCTTGGAAATCATTGTCAATTAGACGAATTTTTGTATTCATAGAAAAATATTCTATATAGAGAAGAAGTGAAATAGTTGATATATATAATATAGAATAATGAAATAGTTTATGATAGATATAATATAGAATAATGAAATAGTTTAAATCGATAAAATAAAAATGGGAAAAAGAAAATTTAATAACATCTTCTGGCTGGAAAATAGATATTTAAAGAATAGATTTTTAAAAAAATGGTTAATAGTCCAATAAGTATTTTTTATTTATTATATCAATTCCCGACTAAAGTTTCAACACTTTATTTAATTCGGAGTGATACTCATACATAGAATATAGAACTACTATTTGAAAAAAAAGTAACATTTTTCATTATAGAACCAAAAAACAATAATATATTCGTTACATAATAGAATTTTTATTTCGTTCTTGATATAATTTCGAGAAATTATTGCATTTTTTATAATAATAGCGAAAATATTTTCAATTATATAGTATTAATTTTAAAATAAACTATAAACATAATAGATAAATTTAGTAGTTATAAATTTTATAATTATTATTGTATATATTATCAAATAGTATTTGTTGACAATTACAACAATAATTTGAGACAACTGAATCAAAAAATCTACCCAATTCTAAGTCAATGTATTGATAATATTCATTTTTATTGAGTTATAGTCAGATATATGTATGTATGTTTTAAAAAATTCGTTATATAGATTTCGATTGTCCAAAAATTATTTTATATTTTACTTTTTCATTTTAATCTAAACTCAACATTCGACATTTTAAGTTTGCCATAATCCATAAGAAAATAGATTTTTGATTAATTCATCATTTGATTAAAAAAATTGTTTAAAATATTTTCTATAACTTATATTCTATAAAAATCATCCTATATTAAAAAATATTAGAATAAAATGTCCGTAAAGTTAAAGTTTAAAAATTGAATTCAATTAAAAAAAAAATTAAAGTTTTATTATCAGATATATTCGAAGTATTCTATTATATACAATATTATAATAAATATTGAATAATATGTTTTCCAATATAGATAAAAATTGTCAACATTTAAAAATATAATGTTATGTTACACTAGTTAATAGCAAATCATAACAAATTACTTACTATATTCGAAATGGTTTTTCTGTATTCAAATAAGAAAAAAATAAATATATTTATTGTTTATAACATGCAAAACAAAAGTTCAATAAATGTAAATATGTATCACGCAATTTATGATTATTTGTAGTCAACACAGATACTTTCAATAATAAATGACAATAGAATATTTCTTTATGAGATCTCGATGTACAGAAACCAATTATAAATAACAATGATAATCATAATCACATATTAATATTTTGAAGATAAGATAATTCGCAAGTTTCAAAAATTACTGGAATAAAAAATAATCGTAATTCTATTGATTGAATTTTAAAAGCAGAAAAATTTCATGCATATTACTTTTTCATTGGATATACTTACATGTAGAGAGAAAAAAAAATTCACGTTATTTTGCCAATTTATTTCCTGATATAAAACGTAATAAAAATTTTATGAATAGATGAGTATGATACTTTTACAAATAATGGTAATTCAACAGACAGAATGAACTTGGGACAAAATGACATAAAACTCTTATCTTAAAAGAAATATGCATAATCAAATAAAATTTAATATTAAATTTAATATGGTATAATATTTTTTATATTATAATTGGTTGTATTTTTTTGAAAATAATAAAAATTTTAAATACAGAAAAATATTAACGATTTTTGAAATTTAAATTATAATCAATGATATAATCAACAATAAAAAATAAATTTTAATTGTTCCCAACATGATAGCATGCCAATACATAATATATGCAATAAAATCTTTGGCAATAAATAATTTGAAATTAGTAGTTCCAAATTATGTTCACTTTATTTAAGCTTTTTGTGAATCTTTTAATCTTTTAATGAATTAAAATAATTTATTTCAATATAACAAATAACCGTATGGTTATTATATACTATTTGTAATATATTAATATATTAAAAAAGAATAAAAAATGTATTATATGTAATTTATATCCTTGAATAAATCATGTATCATTTATTATCTTATGACAAAACTTTAATTATCTTATAAATTCTAAATTTTATAGGCATCTTATTTTAATACTATTTAAAATGTGCAAAATATACAAAAAGAGTCGGCTTCTGAGAAAAAAATGATTCAATTTAAAAGAAAATGCAGTTACATTCCTTCAATGCATTATTGAATATTAAAAAAAATAAATATCTAGAAATATCTATATTTTATAATAAATATCTAGATTTTACCAATCAATTTTTTTCTCTATAATTTTTCTCTATTTTCAACAAAGCCGAAACTATAACGTATCCTAGATTCATTTTATATATTCATTCATATTTTGTTTAGAATGTGACGAAAAAATAAATTTATGAAAATAATAAAAAAATTAAATAATAAGTTTTAAAGAATTTTAGACAGAATTTTAGAAATTTTAGAAATTTGTAAGAAATTGTAAAAAATAGTTTGAAAGAAATGTTTAGAAAAAAATATTTTTCGTGCATATATACTTAATAAATATAAATTAGCTTTGATAGTTAGATTAAGTTAAATTAGTTAAATTCTCCTCAGGAATTACAATTACATTGCAATACAGATTTATATTTTTAAATTCAAGGTACTTGAATTCCATAAACAGATTTAGCAAATTCGAATACCTCGAATAAACTTATTATAAAAATTATATATAAAAATTATTATGATATATGTTAGAGTCTTAAAATTCATTGAAATAATTTTTATGTTTTAAAAAAGTTACATACATTTTTTTTCATTATGAAATCTTTTCTGATAAATATGTTTTATATTTTAAAAACTCTTTATCTTTATATTATGTACAATTATTAATATTTAAAAGCGATTAATAATCTTTTTTAACAACTGTTTTTCTGTTCCTTCAGGAAATTGCGAGGAAAATAATTTTAAAAATTATATTTTTTCTTAGTCTAATATATAACATATATTGCATTATCAATAAGCTATTTTCTATTTCGTCATCGTGAAAAATATTGCAGATATCTATGATGCATTTCTTTGTCATTATTGATAGAAATAAAAGCACATGTTATACAATGATGTAAACGATTTATATCATATTGTTTTTACCTAACATTTGAGTTTTTTTTAAAAATCAAAGCATTCCAATCTTATCAGGAAAACACATGTCGTTCTCACAGTATTGCTACATTAACAAATTTGGTCTTGTTATTATTTCGTAGCTTCCTCTTACTCTACTCATCATCTATAATTATAAAAAGAAATGGAATTTATTTGCATAATTTCCATGATATATCGTACATCAGTATTTTGTGATAGAGCTGCTATGTCTGAACAAATCGGAGGGCAACTTGCCTGGAATTGCTGGCTATATTCACCAATTAATCCTTCAGTACTATCGTCTCGAAAAATATCTTCTTCACTGCGCCATAGAATTACGTTTTTTTTAAAAGATAAAAATTATCACCTTCATAATTCGGCCAGTTAAAGCAAAACTTTGTTTCTATAAAACATAATAAAAAAATATTGTTCCTAATATATTTAATTATCTTAAGTATTAATTAAAATTTTAATTAAAATTTTTAAAATGGATTTTTGACCAGCTAACTCGATTAATATGCATCACTTTAAAAATGAAAACAATATATGCCGAAATGTTCAAATATGACGCTATTTCTGATTCGTTTCAAGAATAAGTTTGATCAATATTAAAAAAATTCATCTATAAAAAAATAAATCACGAGTGCTTGATTCTGGAAATTCCAAGACCAAAAGACGTTAATTTTGGTTAATTTCGGTCGCTTTTAGGAAGGAATTAAATAAATTGCGCATTCAATCAAAATAAGAAAATTACTTCTAAATCTTGATGATATTCGGATTTTGCACACTGTAAAAATATCAAAAGAAAAGATTAAAATTGAAATTCCGTCTTTCCTTTTAATTGGACACTATTTGAATGAATTATTGACAGCAAGGAAATTGGATAATATGGAAGATCTCGATCTTGAAAATCGAGATTCTGATTCTTTCAATACTATCGTCACTTAGAATTCAAAATACATAAGTAAAATAGAATATCGTATGTTATAAATACATATGTTATGTATACCAAAATATATTTCAATACGACTTTATATATGGGAGACTGCAGCGTTTCTTTGTTTAAAGTCTAATAAAAATTCGGATCAGAAAGTCAGTAGAATTTCTAGAAGTCTTAGCTAATTTAGAGATAGGGATTGTTATCATATATATAAAAAAATGGCAAAGCGATTCATCAAATTATGTTTATTTCTTAAGCGTACAAGAAAATGGATAGAATGGATACATTTCGTTATGAACGGAGTATATGCATTTTCGAATTAAAATTTGTGCCAGGAATATCTAGGCTATAAGATATGATCTCTCGATATTCCTCTTGGTATTAATCCTGGAAAATTTCAATAGCAAATTTATTATATCGATTTTCCCCATGAAAAATTCCATTTATGGTTAGGCAGCGGATTTGTACCTTTTGAATAGCTATTGAACTAGATTTTACTATCATATACATAAAAATTAACGATGGATTCTTCTAGAATAGTTAGTTCTTAAACGCTTTGCAGCTAACAAACAAAGTTTCATCGACATCACTGATCGTATTTAGGTATTGATCCAACCAAGATACTGAGATTTTCTCAGGTCAAAACTGTATCAATTATTTGACATATATTTTAATAAGGATATATTTAAATAAGGAGTCCTGAATCTGTAAAAGAAAAGACAGATGATTCTTCTAAGGAACAAAAAAAATAGACTATTTTTTTAATGATTTATTTGCTTACTATTTGAAATGAAGAAATTTTTTAAATGAATGAAATTTCTTTTTACCTTTTTAATTGCCTGTTCCAGTAAGATTCCGATTTGATTAAGAATCAGTACAAATAAATCGCTCTATGATTAAACACGTCAGAATCTTCTTAGACTAGCTCTCTTCTATGAGGTTATATTGGCAGTATTATTGAATATTATCAATATTTTTAATTCCCTATCCTAGACAGCAATAAAAAAAGTACCATTAAGTGTCTACCTACATGAAACAAGTAATGGGAAATTACTTTTGATACAAATACATAAAATATATAAAACATAAAATACATAAAACATAAAATTTCTAAGTTAGTATGTTATGCATAGAATATGTCTCACAGGAGTTAATGTTAAATTCATTATAATGTGGATTCATATAAAGGGACATCACATACGATATTGCGGATCATCCTGTATGCCTGACGTAACATATTTATGATACACTGATCAATCAAAAGTAAGAAAAAAAAAGAATTGTTCGCCTTATAAAGATGGATATGTTCTCTATGGTTCTCATCATCCGTTGAAAATGATTCCACATAAGACCAAGGCTTGGTTTTATTCGATGAGCATGTTCATCCTGATTATGTTTACATTTTTTTATTTATGATTTATCATTATTTATGATTTATTATCATATATTTGATATTGAGGATGCATTCAGAAACATGATAAGATACTTCAGTCTTCTTTTAGCCAATCTCCAGCGCTTCAAGATCCATTTTGATCCTAATTGGAAAAAATCATTTCAGTTGAAAAAAGCAAGTTCACTTACTTGCATGAAAAAATTTGCCGTGTCTATATAGAAGTTGGACCATAGCTCTATAGAGTCCCAGTGACTTGATAAGCAAGTGACTTGATATCTAGAAATGTTGTAAAATCTCTTAAACAGTAATGCTGCTGACAGATTATTATTATTCCATATATTAGGAAGATTATGTTTACTTATATGTATGTACGCCAGAAATAAAATATTTCTGCCAGAACTTACCAGCATACGATCCAAAATGAAATACCAGATCCATCGGTAGCAAATTGGAAGAGAAAGTTATAAATTGCAAAGATTGCGTTGATGCAATCTTTCCAATTCTAAATAAATAGATGGACTATATGAACTATAATATTTGAATGATACAGATACTCCGAACTCCGGTTGTTTTAGGTTTTTATATTGATAGAATCTTAGAAAAGCCATTGTGGTGTTTCACGGAATATGATATAGCATTCTCTTGAGAATTCATCCAATAAACAAAACAAAGTACGCCGTAATATAAGTGAATTTATAAGTGAACTAGATTGAAATTTTTTTTATCAATCATGATCAAAGCTATATTAATAGAAAAAGAAATAGGAACTGTGATCTTTATATAACTCCATTATAGAGAACAATGAAACCGCGAAACGGAAAGCGCCGGCCTTTTCTTCTCCAATTTAATTCAGGCTGGCTGGAACTCGAATATTCGAATATGAATCAGAGCTAAAATATACAAAAAGAAAATCATCGTGCTGATGAAAACAGTTTTCGCCGAGAGTCAATCTTAAGCTTTTTTATATCAAGAACAATAGAATCATTGTCGATCTGGATAGAAGTCCTATAGTGAAAAACCATAAAGATTTTAGTCAATAGATTTAGTCAATAAGAATCCAATATCCTTTAATCTTCTCCTCCTTCATCTTCTCAAAGATGTTCATTCTCATACGTAAAAAAAAAAAAAAAAAAAACTAAAATAGGTTAATATAATTAGATAACATATAACGTAAATATAAAATATATAATCAATGCCATAATATTTTTAGAGAAAAAAATAAATAACTAATGTTTATCTATTCAAATCTTTTTATAAAAGAAATATCTATTCCTACAACTTCTATAATTTCAATAGAAATTTAACAATAGACAATTGATTTATATCTATGCCATTAACATCTAATTATGTTAATTATCTAAATAATTTCATCTAAGTCTGTATGTTACAATTTTTCCTATTTTAAAAAGAAATAAATGTTAATCTCTTTACAGAATTCAAAAATGAAAAATTAAATATATCTTTTTTGTTTCAATAAAAAAGTATAAATCAAAAAAATTTTGATTTTTTATATTAAAATAAACAAATGATGTTTCTAATTTTTTTCTTTATTATCGTCTATAAATTTTAATATTAATAAATATTAGAAATAGTTGAATTTTACAATGCGACTGAAGGTGTAGATATTGTTGGACAAATATCTAACATATCTTCGAAAAAAAATGACTACTATGTTTATTTTAATAATGTATTAAACTTATTACCATATAATATATATATATCAATTTAATAAAAAAAAATTGAAAAAGATTTTGTTCTCTAAATTAATGATATAATGAAAATTCTAATTGGAACATTGTTATTAAATATCAGCTATAAAAAAATATTACAGAAATAAAATATAACTTAAATTTATAAATTTTGTGGATATAACCAGTGATATAAAAACCATTGTCACTGTTGCAACACGTACAATAATTTATATGACTTTCTGTTTTACGAAAAATAACAAAATAAGTCTATAATAAATATAATGCTTTCATATGTAAAAAATATAATTTAAATATATGTTAATGTTTTGACTCATAAGTTCATTACCAAATATAACTTTATAATTTCATTTATCTTACATTTTTATGAAATAAAATATTTTTACAATCATATAAAAAAAAATTAATTATATTCATATTTTATATTTTAAATATTTTCTTATTTTCATGAAGATTTAATAACGTTATTAAGTAATGCTATATAGAGTTAAATATGTAGTTAAGTATGTAGAGTTAAATATACAATAAGCTAATTTCATCCTTCAATCAATTTTTAACGATTTTTTATTATAAAAGCAATTAACTTATATAAAATAATAAATAACATTAACAATAAAAATGCCATAATATTAATAATAAATAACATTACATTTATATAAAAAAATATGAATTTTATTGTTGAGTCAACATTTTGTGTCTTATCACATTGTAATGTATTTTATTTTTCAATATTCAAAGTCGTATTTCAGTATTTATTTTTTACAATAAATATTATAATTGTTTATTTTTCTAATATATAATATATTATTTCTATTTTTATATTTTAAAATGACAAATGACATTTTATTGTATTATTTGTCAGTTAGAACTAAACAATTATATTAAAACTTGACTTTGTTTTGAATTTCGTCTTCATGTAGGTTTTAATTTTGTCCCGCAGATGAAATTAAGAACACGTTTTGTTTGTATTTATAACATTAAATATTGGTTTATTTAGATACATTTTAAATAGGAAAATATAAAACATAGAAAGAATAAAAATAGAATAAAAGTATCCTTGAAAATCTTTCATTAAAAAAAAGAATTACATGAAATTCTTGTTCTGTTATATAATTCATTTCTTGTATTGATCTTATATTAATATTACATTAACATTATATTGAATTTTTTCTTTTTTTAAAAAACTAATGAGAAAAAATATTGGATGACCGGCAGTTTTGACAAAAATTAAAAAAATTAAAAAAATGTTAGATGTTATTATGTAAAAATTAATTAGGCGTTCATTAACTAAAGAAGTCGCCTAGATAACGAATTATCTCAAAAACCACATCATGATGAAGCTTGTTAAAAAACATAATAATGTTTTTAAATTTACAACATGACATCAAGATAGTTCAGAGAGATTCATATTGGGACCAAATGGAATTTGATTTTCAATAATCTGTTGCAATAATCTGTTGGATCGAAAAGCATATGTGTGATTATAACACATGAATGATGATATGAACGATTTGATATGAACTACATGAACGATTTTCTCATAGTGATCTCATAGAAAATAATCGTTCTCAACTTCAAATATCTGGACAACTGTTCGTATGTAATAGAAAAACTGAAGCTTTCAATCAAGAAGACGAAAATAATTCTGAAAAGAAGGGAATGTTGAATCTGAAGAGGTCAGTAAAATGCCAAGGATAAATCCAAATATATAAAACTGTAATGAGTACCTGAGTATGTATTTGGAAATTTTAAAAATGGCAATACGTTCATCAAAGCCAAAAACTTTAAAAAGTTTTTCGAGCTAAAGTAACTGGTCTTACACAGATTTCTATTGATGGTATCTAAGAATTTTTGTCCCAATGTATAATGGTATCATGCAATAAATTGAATAAATTAGGATTTCGTGTATTGGATCAGATTCAATGTTTTGTACTGTTTTACTAATAATGATGAATCCCTCTATTTTTTTGATTGGTTTTTCTTCCACATTGCAACGGTTTAAATTCTTTCCATTGATCCAAAAATTATGGAGATGGAAATATAAAATCAAGAAGTACAGAAGAGCACTCATCTCAAAGCGTGGATATAATTCAGTATAATGTAAATATAAAAGATATTCTCGTTACGGAATAAAAACAAATGAAAATGAAATCAATCCAAAAAGAAAATACACATGCAATATTTTTCTAAGAAAAGAAGTAAGTAGATATTGTCGACATGTCTTCTTCTTGACGGAACACTGAAAATTTATAGCTAAATTTGAGTTAACAGATGTCTTTGATAGTTGAAGCATATTCTTCTAGTCTATAATTTATATTTATATAAAGAGAAATGCATATAATTATGGGAAATATGCGTATTCGCAAATATATAACATGGCATATACAGATAAAGAGTTGGCAAAAGATAATAATCAGATAATATATATGAATATGTTGCGAATGCAGAAGATGCATCCTTCACAAGAAGGAACAGTTATGAATAATGATAAGTATTTAAACGGATTTAATATGAAATTAATTGAAGACGATAAAAATCAACGTTTAATTACAGGATCAAGTAAGTTCAATTTGTTCCATGATATAATTATATATAGTTGAAGACAGAATTTTTCAAAGTCCTAAAGTGATAAAATATTTATGTTATATGTTTTTTACTTGTAAAAAGTATGAAATTAAATTATATTATAATAATATTAATTATATAGGATTAAATATTTGATTAAGCTGATATAGATATTAGTTTCGAGAATAATACTTCGATATAGCGATTAATAATATCGACAATCTGAATATGGATACATAAATAAAAAATAAAATTACATGCCTTAGAAGGATTGATCAATTGAGTGTAATTAATAGCATACAATTCAGTACATAATTTTTTAATATGAAAGAATTAAAAAATAAAAGTTACAATCCAAAATGGAATTCCTATCTATTTAATATTTTGTAAATTGCTGTTATTCATTTAAAATATTTTTGTAACAATTTTATAACAATTTTTGTTTTTTGTATTTATTATAATAGTTTTTTATTATTATTATTTATTATTATTTATTATTGTTATTGTTTTTATTTATTGTTTTTTGTATTTATTCAAATTTCATATTAAACAAAATTCTGATTTCTGAAAAAAAAATTTTTGAGAATATAACAATTTCATCTTATATTTATAAAACTAATTTATTTTTCATTTTTTTTCTTTCTCTTGTTTTGTTTATTTCAAAATTAACTAAAAGCGTTATCAGTTTTTTCTGTTTCTTTTATTTGCTTCCAATGTAACTGTCTTCATAACTTTGTAATTAAAAAAAATTATTTATTTTTTTAAAAATTAACAACAACAGTTAATTTATTTATAAAATCAAAAAAAGATAAAAGAAACTGAAGAAAAAATTTCGAGAGATTAAAATCAGAAACCAAAAATAATATTATTCTAAAATTTTCTATAATAAAAATCATTAAAAATTTAATTATTATTGAAATTTAATTTATTATTGAAATATAATCAATATATAATATAAAGAAAAATCGAAGAACAAAATGATTAAAAAATATCGATTTTTTTTAAAACATTTTTTACAAATAACAATTATTAATGTTCAAAAATTTGGATCTTAAAAACTTTGGATCTCGATAATTGTTATTCATAAAAAAAAATTATTTCGATTATTCAAATCAGCTATCAATGAGAGAAATTTATTTCGATCACTCATAACAGTAAAATGATAAAAATTTTTTTCACATGCTGATAATAATTATTGATGAAAAAATTCATTTTGGTTATTTATTTAATTATTAAATTATCTATTTTTTTTCGAATGGAATATGTCTGTGAAAAATTGAGAAAGTTTCGTACAATAAGACAAACCAATAGACTATAAGAACAACACAAAATCTGTTTGTTAACGGACTGTCTTTGTCACGGACGACTCTATTCTACTCGTATATGAATGTATAATTATTTATAATTATTTGCCTTGTATAATTGTTTTTTTGTCTTCGTATTGTTAGAGATATAGTAAATGTATCAGAAAACTTGGTAGTCAAATTTGTGTTTCTATTTGATTTAGTAATTTCATTATTATTTCATCATTGTAATCGTGATGATTATGTTACAGTAATAGTTACTATTTTTTGTTATATATTTCTGTAATAGAACATAAAAGGAATGTTAATACA